CATTCTTTTTGTCACTGTTATGAATAATGTATTACATCTCAACTATAAAAAGGCAGCATTTTGGATGACTGAAACAGTTTTTATTTTTAACATCCGACCAATTATGACCTGGTTTTCTCTGTACGTATGTTGTGCAGTTTTACATGTGTCATATGCTCACATGAGCACACAAGTATCTGCCAAGTGTCAACCATTCATTGGTGATTGGACATTTACTACGTTATCCGTGTTCTAGAAATATTACAAAACATATCTGTATGGAAAACGTTTTCTGAAATTGAGTCATGTGCACATACGAGTACAAAACTTCAAGCAATACACGAGCTCCTTCAGCGAAAGTTGAGCATACAACCAAAGAAAGTTGTGTTCCCCACCTTGCAGATAGAGCCTAGAGGAAAATCTCATACAACAATGAACGCCAGCACCAGCCAAAGGACATAAAGCTTGTACTTGTTTTATTCTTTGCCTCTATTCTACATATAATTTTATGAAACAATAGAAACTGGTCCTTGTATTCCTCTAGCCCAATCTGCTTTCAACTACGCTACACGTGTATCTTCTAAACAAACCAACTTATTGGAATCAGTCAACAAACGGATCAGCTTTCAGCAATTTAATGAACTGCTTAAAGATACTGGAACTAGACCAATTTTAAACTCGTTCTCTATTAACTAATTTCAGAAATGCCTAGCAAGCTAGCTAGCTACAAGTGTGCAGATAGCATTCATTACTATTATTTAATATTCCCAACCTTCTCCGGTATCCTGCACAAACATTTTTTCCCTCTTCTTTGAGCTTTCATTCTACCCCATGTGGAGCTTTGCATCACATGCTCCCACCTCCTTTATATCACTAAAAAATATTCTCGGGCTTTTACCTTTTTTTAAGTCCAAACACCAATCTTTCTGTCCCCTTTCATTCTATCATTCCCACAAGCAAACTCTTTCGGTCTTTCTACTTTATAAATAAGAATCATTAACAAAGTCATTAACCTATTTTGGATTATCCTCATGCAGTCTAATCACTCAGTTACGCTAATCAGTGCACTAGGTTTCTTTTATATATATACATCAAGTACACTTTTAACATGATCTTAAGGTTTCATGGAAAAGTTATGATCTTGAGGGCATAATTACTACAGCACCTAGTGTCAACCTGGAAGCCAATAACCAAATCTAGATTGTGTTTAGTTTTTTGTTTTTCTTGTCCACCCCCATCATGATCTTGAATAATAAAACATCAAGACTAATGCTAAAAGATCTCTGTGCTCTCTTATTGTAAAACCCTTTGATGATGAAATTAAAAAGCCTCCTTTTTTTTCCCCCCCAAGGTGTTGGGGACAGATACATGTGCAGGATTCTAGGCCTTCATCATGCGCCTGTCTTCTTCTTGCAACTAGATTGTGGGGTTCATATTCAGAAAGATGCTCCATTTGTTAGTATGTAGTCATAAATCGCAATCAAATGTTTGATCCCAAAAGAAAATTCAGAACCAAATGCATTGATGATTGGCTCCTCCAACAGTCATAGCAATGCAGAGATGTTTTCCAGCCACATAGAGGGCCATGCAATTTCTCTCTTATCTCTTCCGGATCTGTTAGTGTTTTCTGTCCTTTTTTTCTTCTTTCTTGGATTCAACTAAACAACTTTTACGAAGAAGAATTATTATTAATATTAATAATGTAACTACAATGATTTAATTGAGAAATAAGTTCTGATTTGTGTAGCATAAGTAAAGCTCATGCTTATTCATTAACACCAAGCCTTTTACTTTACTCTTTCCTATTTTGCTCACTAAACTTTACTCTCCTATTTTACTCATCGTACTTTCAATTTTTTTATTTTGCTCACTAAACTTTACAGATTGAATCATTTTTCTCACTCTGTCGTTAACTTTCTAATAGTATTATGACGTGGCACAGTAATCAAAACGATGTCGTTTTGAAAAACTCAAATATACTCTAAAATTACGTCGTCTTGGTGAGTACAATATGAGAGAGAATAAAGTCCAATGATTCATGGTGTAATTTACTCTTTTTCCTTATTTTCTTCATTTTCTCTCCACCGACCACTACATCATTTTCATTATGGCCACCGTCGATCGCCGTAGATGGTGGTTGTTCGATCCTAAATTTCATGGGTCGGTTCGTCTTGACCCCCCTGAGTCCGAATCTGCTGGTTGTCTCATCGGAACATGTCCAAAAACCCGTAAATTTGGACTAAAACATTTTGATTTTCTCACTTTCAATCTCAAATTTGTGGACTTTGAAGCAAATTCCGACAAAATTGTGGTCGGATTCGGACTCAAGGTGTCGATGTAAAGCGACCCATCCCATTTTGGGACCAAACGACCACCATTTATGACGGTCGACGGTGGCATCCTTCCACCTTTTGTTTTTATTTTATTTTTTTAATTATTTTATGCGAAATAATAATAAATGCAACATCATCAGTTGTTAGAGAGAAAATGATCGAGCGAGCAAAATGATTTGATTGTAAAGTTCAGTGAGCAAAATAGAAAAATTGAAAGTACAGTGAGAAAAATAAGAGAAAGAATATGGTTCAATTAGGAATGATGTAATTTACCCTATTTATAAATACATGAATTCACACTACTGATTTTTACTCATCCGTTACTTATGATATGAGATGAGTTCAGATTGATCGTTTTTTCAATTGATTCTTGATTTTTCAGTACTAATTTTAATTTTTTGAATTCTTTTATTTTATTTACACAAACTGTGTTTTAATTTGTAATTTTTTTAGCATTGTTTGGTAAAATTTCCTAGTATTTTTTATAATAAATATTAAAAAACAATATATATATATATATATATTATCTTTAAGTAAGTTTCACTATTTTTTTTGGGTAATACTGCTAAGATGAGCTCCATTTAGAGCTTCAAGATCGTTCAGCAAAAGACTTTCCACCTCCCTCGGTGCAGACTGGTAGTGCACAACACCAATCGGTTTTCCCCTTGCTAAACTAGCCAGCTTGTCCACAACACAATTGGCCTCACGAAATACATGGCTAATCCTGATTTGCCACTCTCGATTATGCAATTTCCTCCTAATCAGCTTTAGAATCGAGCTTCCCTCTTGGGGTCGCTATTTTCAGCAAGGAGTTCCACTGCTTTCGCACAGTCTGTTTCCACCATTACTTTCCTAAATCCAAGTTCCCAAGCATATTGCAGCACATCATGGATAGCCCACAACTCGGCATTAAGAACCGAACAAATGCCAATACTACGAGCAAAACCAAAGATCCATGCACCCTGAGCATCGCGAATTACACCCCCAGATGCCGCCATGTTTCCTAACCCACCAACAGCACCATCCGCATTTGCTATAACCCAGTCCCCCATCGGTCTCTGCCACCTCGTTATCTCTATAGCTCTCACTCAGCTTGGATCCTGGTTCAAAGCAGTAGCCACGACTTCCTCCTTCAGACGTAAACATTGCACATCAAATCCTCATGCTCAATAAAGCCGGTTGAAAAACAATAGAGCACCTTCTTTTCCATAGCCTTCAACAAACAATCGCAAAAAGCAGGTTCCAGTTTGAATCATCAATCGCAAAATGCATTTGATTTGTCAAGTTGGCCATGAGCCAAGCAGAATCGGTCATTGACATAAACATATCAATCTTCTCTGATTTAATAAACTTCTTCCACATCACCGACGAAGAGGGACACCTTCGAAGTACATGCTCCATATCCTCCACATCGTGACCACAAAGAGGACATCGGGCACTAGGAGCAATATGACGCCTGAACCTTTCTTCATTTGTCATTAATCGTCCATGGAACACAAGCCACAAAAAACTTTAATTCTTTGTGGCACCTTAGTTCCCCATATCACCTGCCAATCTTTTGCGGAATCATTCTGATCCAATATGGCGTATCACTTCCTAGAGCCGGCTGAGGAGGGTAGATGGCTACAATCCGATTACAAAATATTTATCTTTTACTATAAAAATAATATTAATTATAAATAAATAAAATTTGATTTGATTTGATAACCAGACCTTTTAACTTGTGAACCATAAACCGTGTGAAACCCACGGTTTAGCTCGATTTAGATTTCTCAATTTGTTTTGAACAACCCCACTTATAATTTGTTATAATACTATTTTTTATTAACTCATTACATATAAAATATTAATTTTTAAGAGAATAATTTAACAACAAAAATAATAATATTATCTAATCGAACTAAATTCTCAATTTCTTTCTGTAACGACCCGAAACCTAAATTAGAAGTTCGGGTCAACCCGAGACCCATAGTTGGAGCCCAAGGACCTATTATAACAGCTTAGACCAAGTTTAATTGGAATTGGGCTGAGTTGGGCCCAAACGAATTCATGAAAGGTGATGAAAATTTTATGAATTAGGAAGTTCAAGGACCAAAAATGAAATTTTCCCCTTGAGGTTTTGAAAGATGAAAACCCTCCTTTTATAATCAGATTTCACGTAAATTAACCCCTAAAAATCTCACCAAACCTCCTCCTTCTTCCTTCCATCATTTTCCATTCCTTTTCCCTTTAAAAGTCTAGTTTCCAAGCATTTCCATTCTAGTTTGGCTTAGGTAAGGTAAGATTTATAATTCTTATCATCCTAACTTCAATTAAGCTCCATTTCTCTAGTTTTTAGTCATGGAACCAAAAATGAGCTTTAAGGGGTTTATGAGAATCTCTAGATTCTAGCCATTTTTAGTAAGATTCAAGTCATAAAATAATTTTAAACCCCAATCCAAAATATTATTTGAGATAGTAACCCTTTTACTTACCCTTGTTTAGAGAAGGAAGTGTGAGAGAGCTCAAATGCAAGGGGGGAAAATTGACACTTGGTTGAATTGGAGAGGTTCTAGCAGCCTAAGAAATAAGGTATCCACACTTGCAACTCTTTCATACTCTTTGTGGGTCTTTAGAAATTTAACATTTTCAGCACCCAATTGCTCACAAAGCCTGTTGCTGTCTGTGTATTTCTAAATATTGCAGAGGTTCCAAGTAAAATATATCAACCTTCTATGGAAACTCAAGTGCGTCCATGGCCATCAATGCCAGTCTCACATGAAACACTTCATTCAATGCCAAAACCAGACACTCATTGCAGAAATAAAATTGTCCGCATTGAAGCTACAAAACTGAGTTGGGGGATCTTCCGTTGCCATCCAGTATGATTTCAAATAAATCAGCCTCGGATTCCTCATCGAAATCCATCGTGGGATAATTACTCCCGTTGTTGTTGTGGCTGCCTTTAGTTGTGCATCTGTTAAGCCATTGGGAGTCGATTCTTCCCATTGAAAAAAGCTCTTTACTGTCTTCATAGCCCAGAGCGGCCGCAGGGGAGTTTACAAGGGGGCCAATGAAACATGGATTTGGCGTCCGTTGTCCATTTGCCGGTGCATATGCAAAGGCACTTTGTCCAAAATTAACTAGAACCGTTACATCATCGTTTGCTGCAAGAGTTGGATAAAGGGGAGTTCCGAATTCCTCAGACTTGCAATTTATTACACGTACCAGCTCCGAATCTAATGTGAAGAACACTTTCTTTTGCCTGGGATCGAACCCGCAACCTATCACCTTCTCTGTCTTCCCCCACTCTTCTTTCTTGGATTCAAACACTAGTTTAATCCCTAGAATATGAGAACCAGATGCTTATCAAAACTCGAGAATTAAAACAACACGAAACAAACAAGAGGAAAGAAGTTGGATAAAGGAGCGAGTGGCATATGACTAGAAAGTTGAACCACTTAGCCTAAAGTTTTATAATTACAGATCATACAGCAGTAACAATAAATTAGAGGAAAATGCTGCATCTTTTTTTGGGTCAGTAGCTTACACCTACCCAACAGTGGCGAATCTAAAAATTTAAGAATAAGAATCTAAAATTTTAATTTTTTAAAAAAAATAATGGATATGCAAAATTTATAATTTTTTTTCTTTTTTACTTAACACGTTAAGTTAAATTTAATCACTTCTTTCAAATAATGGATGCACTTGGCCATGGGCTTAGTGCATCCGCCACTGCCAATACACTGAAGGGTGGCACTATTGACGTATAGTAATTCATTCATGACCCTGTGGCAGTGGGCCTTTTCTCAACCACTTCAGGGTCAGGCTAATTTGGAGACCTTTTAGTTGAGAGATTTGTTCCGTTCACTGGTGGACGGTTGCCACATTTTGTTATTGCTAAACACAAGAGTCTAGCTTCTGAACTACTATTATATTTGCAGATGGAGTGTGCTTAATCTCCATAAACATTAAAAAATGGGTTTCTAATGTAGGAAAAAAAGTGTATATTGAAAATTAATTACCATCGAGATAGACAGAACCATCGGAATTGAAACCAATGGATCCTGGATAGCTACCAGGAAGCTTCAAAGGAAGAGAGCCTCCTGCAGTCAGTCCCACCGATAGCATTACTGTTTCACCCTTTCCGTCATCTTTAATTGCAAGCTTTAATTCCTCGATCGTATTAATATCATGACTGCTGATAGCATGGACCAAAGATTCTGAACTTGCTTTCGGATTTGAATTTTCTTTGATGAGTTTTATCTTCTCGTCTTCTCTTAGCTTGCCGCTTGGACTTGAATCATGATCATCTCGGCGGCAATACAGAATCGTGATCTCGAAATAGGCATCTTGAGGGAAAACTGAGCTTCCCAAAGGAGGCCCTGGCAAGGGCAGAGCTGTTCTGATAACAGATGCTGCCTCCATGGAATGATGGCCTAGACTCCCTTTCTTTGACCCAGAGCTGAGCCTGATCTTTTGCATGAAATCTGATGATCCTTGGCAAACTTCCCAGTTCACCTCTACATCGTTTCCTCTTCCAAAATCACCAGCCGCACATAATCCTAACAGGCTTGATCGTGTAGAAGGAGACGACATGTAATTCGTGAAGCCAAATCGAGACCATCCGTTCTCAACTGCATCGGTGACGAGAGATGGATGATCAGCCCAATTAAACAAAGGTTTTGTCGAAACCCCGTGTCGAAAAACATAGTAATTCCCCCTTCTCTTGCTATCTAAATCAATCTGATGATGATGATGCAGACTCGCCTGGTTTAGTCTAGCAATCCCGTCTTGAAAATTTTTAGTCCCAACGGCTCTGTTGTCGTCAACAATATCTTTACGGTAACACCAGCGACGCATAAACACAACCAAAAGGATCAAAAGGATAACGACGACCACCGCTGCTACCGCCACACGAGTCCATTCAGGCATCGCTCTTCTAGTATTTTCTTTGCCTATATAAATTTTCAAATACAAATAAAGAGTTTATCTTTTTCCCTGAAAAATGTATCAGGGGAGAAAAGGGAGATGATTGATAAAGAGATAGAAAGGTCAAGGGAAGAGTGGACCAAGACTGGATCAAGAAAGGTAAGCAAATATGGTAAAATAGTAAAGGAGAGCGAACCAGTTCGTGGGGGATTTGGGCAATTAACGTTTTTTTCTTCTTCTTTATTTATGGTCCATTCTTTATTTAATGTGAACCGACAATCCTTCTTCATTAAAAACGCGTTTATTAATTCATTTCCCTTTTATCTTCTGGGTTTTCAAAGGAGAGAGAAAGAGGAGATGATGCCTACTTATTGTTTGTTTGTGAAATCGCAATCCCTTCTAGAAAACCAAGAATTACAAGCCTGGCCACCGAGGGCACTTTCATTGTTACGATTGAACATTTGGGAGTCGAGCAAATGCCAAAGCAGGGGAGAGACACTGTAGGAAAAAAGTTTTAAAAGAGTGAGCACAAGCTAAGGAACAGGGTTTTTATTGTACTGCGTGCTGGTCGTTTCACGGTCAATTTCATGTAAAAATTACTCGATATGATTTTGAGGAAGAAAACACGGGAACTTCTGTTGTGCGATATTTAAAAAAAAAAATTAAAATTAAAAATGATATAATCTGTTAAATAAGTAATTGATTAAAATTTAGATTAATTATATTATATCATTTAACTAAAAATATTGTCAAGTACAATAATATATTAAGTAGCGTTTATATTGACCTATTTTTTTAACTAAACATGTATATTATCGGTTTTGATGTTTTTAGGATTGATATAATTTTAAATGTATCGATACTTTATGCGTATGCCTCGTTGTGCTTTCATTTTAGGAAAAAAGTCTCGACACATATTTAAAGAGTATCGATACATAATGTAAACATATTTGTTAATTAACCAGTATATTTTTACCAGTTACATTGTAAATTTACCTGTTACATAATAATTATTTATTTCGATATTTTTTGGATCAATATTTTTCATAAATGCATCGACATTTATGCGTACACCAATTTGAGTTCTTCAATCAACAGTTTCAATGACACAAAATCCTAACCAAAAAATAAAATTAAAATTGACCTAACTTTATCCTATGGAGATAATAAGAGTATATCATAAGTTTGCGTTGAGAGATGTCTGTTTCTGGGTTTTTGTTCTTTGAGAAATTGATAACATGGTGGGTTTCCCAATGTTATTCTTTTGTTACTGCAAAGTTTTTGTTCTTTTCTTACTGAATTTTGCTTAAAATATCCAACTTTTTATATTAAAAAATAAAAATTCTGAAATAAAAATGACCACACAAACACACTTTTTTACTACCGGTTTTGTCATTTTGAGATCGATTTTGTCATATTTGTACATGATATATTGTTATGGATCGATACATTTTTATAAAGTATCGACACTGTATTAGCGCTATAACTTCTTCTCTTTTAAATTCCAAAAGTGTCGATACTTATAATAAAGTATCGACACTATCAACATATCTGGTAGTGCTTTACCTGTTTTGTCATTTATAAACCGGTTTGTCATTTGTTTACCTGTTATATTGTTATTGATCGATACAGTTTTATAAAGTATCGACACTTTCAATATATCCGGTAGCGTTTTACCTGTTTTGTCATTTATAGACCGGTTTTGTCATTTTTTTACATGTTATATTGTTATAGATCAATATATTTTTATAAAGTATCGACACAAACCGACAAGCTAAATTTGCCGGTTGCCAAATTTTTTAATATTTCTTCATGATTTCTATCTATTACATTATTATTACTCGATATTTCCGATAGCGCTAAATTAAATTTATCAAATATCTTTTAATGTATCTAATAATATCATATATTAATCGTATTTTAATCCACTTTTATGAGACAACCCACAAAATACATGTATTTGCACATTAAAAATTTGTCTCATTTAAGGCATTGTCTCTGGCCTCGGAAAAACAAAAGGCTATCCCCATGGTGGGGGCACTGGATTCTTGTATTGGTCTTGATGTTTGAAGTTGAGGGTGGGGATTTGTTTTAGGTACCTTTAGGTGTCTATGTAGGACCCTGTATCTGTTAATCATTGGTATTGATAACTAGTAATATTGGAAATAAAGTTTTTTTTTTCGATTAGACATTGGAAAAAGTGTTTTTTTAAGGGTGTTCCCGATTGTGTATGATTTCCCTGTCAAATTATAATATAGTTAGAATGTTTTTGAGAAAATTGATATCTGTTAAGGAATTGAATTTTGAAGGAATTTGAATTTGAATCTGATACATGTTTAGTCGATAGGAAATTGAATTGAAATTTAATTTTATATTCTGTTTGGTTCGTAGATATGTCAGATAAATTTGATTTCATTAATATAAAATGATAGAATTATTCTTCTTATTTTTTTACTTAATTTTAGTTTGTTTTATAACTTACATGTAATAATATATTATAAAATTTTAAAAAATATTAAAATTTTCATTTTATTGATTGATTATTCATTTTAAATAAATTATAAAAAACATACTAATAAACATCATAAGTTAAAATCATCCCAATTAGGGATGACCATGGGTCGGGTTGGGTAAGGTTTTTGGTCCACCCGACCCGACCCGAGAACAAGGAAACCTCCACCCGAGATCCGACCCGACCAAAATAAAGTTTTACCTGACCCGACATGAATATATGAATTAGAAACCCGACCCGAAATAATAATAAAATATTTTTATTCAATAAAAACAGTGGCTTAATTGAAAAAAATTATATATAAAGGAGTATTATTGTAATTATTTCTAAATATATAAGGTAAAATTATATTTTTTTCGGGTTGGGTCGGGTATTTTTCACCCTAAACCCGAACACGACCCGAATATCACACTTTAAAAAACCTGACCCGACCCGACCCAATTTTTTTTTAAAAAAATCCGACCCGATCCTGAATTTTTTTTTAAAATACACGACCAGACCCGAATATCACACTTTAAAAAAACCGACCCGACCCGAATATCAAACTTAAAAAAATTCGACCCGACCCGACCTCGAATTATTTTTTAAAAAAATCCGACCCGAATACGTAAAGATTGATGATGGTAGTATGATCAAATTTTACATTCCTTCCTCCAAAAGATTTTAATTCCATCATGTTATGGATGTAATGTACTTTCACTCCCTTGATGAAATTGGATTCTAATTCTCTCTTTAAAAACTTGAACCAAACATGAAAAAATGGTATAATTGGATTTCAATTCCCCTAATTTCAATAGATTCCAACAAACCAAACGTAACTTAAGTGTAGTGGGAGGCCTCCATTTTCTTGCAAACCCATTAAAACGCAAGAAAATGAAAAACAACAAATGAGAAATATATGTTGACCTTTTTGTAACTATCCTATTTAAAAGAGCGAAAATACTATTTTTAGTTTAATTTAATGTCATCAATTTTGGGCATCCATTAACCAAACACAAAGGTCTTTCATAAGACCTCAAACCACCAACCTCATAAGTAGGAATGGGATGGGATTCTATCTTAACATCTTTCGATCCAATTTAATTTTATAAGATTTGATTTTTTTTTATGAAAAAAATTAAATTTGAGTCGGATTAGATACTTTTAAAAAGATAAGATAGATTTGATCGAATTTAAATTTAAAATAAAATTTTTTGATTTAATGATTTAATATAATAATATAATTATCTTTTATATATTTAAAAATAATTATAATAATACATCTCTATATTTTTTTTAACTAAGTTCTTATTCTATTTAATAAAAACGAGAATACTAAATATTTGTATTGAGTTGAGTTACGTCAAATCAATTGCAAGTTTTATCCCTAGATAGGATCACATGAAAGTGGGTAGTTCTGCGGTGCGGCGCCTAAAAAACGGCTAATATACGGCGTGACCGGTTAAACAAGTAACCGGTTAAAATTTAGACCGGTTATGTTATATTATTTAACCGAAAATATTATAAAGTACAATAACATACTAGGTAGCGCTTATATAATGTAATAGGTAGCGCTTATATTTACCTATTTTATAAGTAAACCGGTATATTTATACCGATAGCATTGCAAATTTACCTATTACATTATATTATATTGAAAGTGTCTATACTTTTTATAAAAAGGATCGATACTTTAACAGTGTTTCATGTTTTCCACCTACAATATTAATTTAATAATTTCATTTGCACAAAAAATTATTTGATTGTTTTGATATTTTATAAAATAATATTTAGAATTTTTAATTTAATAATAATATATATCGTAACGTAAAAAATAAATCATTAGACGCCTATAATTACTAAATTAATATCTTAAAACTCACTCAAAAGATAACCTTAAATTAATGTTTTCCACAGTGAAAAAAGTATGGACACTTTTATAAAAAGGATAGACACTTTACAATATAACCACTACCTATTACATTATATAAACGATACCTATTACATTATATAAGGGCTACCTATTACATCATATGTTTACCTATTATATTGAAAGTGTCCATACTTTTTATAAAAAGGATCGATACTTTTTTTAAAAGTTATGTAATTTATGTTTCAATTTTTTTAACAGTGTTTCATGTTTTCCATCTACAATATTAATTTAATAATTTCATTTGCACAAAAAATTATTTGATTGTTTTTATATTTTATAAAATAATATTTAGAATTTTTAATTTAATAATAATATATATCGTAACGTAAGAAATAAATCATTAGACGCCTATAATTACTAAATTAATATCTTAAAACTCACTCAAAGGATAACCTTAAGAACACTTGAAGAAGCAAGAGAACAACTATCCAAGCAATCAAAAACGAGAAAATCCCAACATGATAACAACTGAACATATCATATCAATGTTCAAACTCAAGTTGTAGATTTTGATTTCCTTTTGCTTGGCATCATATGAGATTTGGATTTTGATTTCTTTTTGCTTGGCACCATATGAGCTTTAGATTTTGATGAGCATCGGAAGTATTTCAGACTTATGATTTGGGTGGTACTCAACTTATGATTTTAGTTGCTATTTGTTACATTTCTTGTATACCACCCAGATCATACGCCCGAAACGTTTCTGACGCTTTAAAGTTGACCAAA